ATTTGGTGGAAAAACATGTTTGCTGCCCTACTTGTAATCTTCTGTCCCCACAAGTGTACAGACTCCTGACCACCAGCAGGTGACACTTTTCCCTTTGCTCACCATGTTGCCATTTGTCCGTGACAGGATGTCCCTGTGCTCAATAGATATGAAGGTCTAAAAATCCAGTGTATCGGTGTGTTGCTGAGATGTCATTTCTTATGCAATCCAATCCTCACGTGTCCCTGGGGTGTGAGTGCATATCTGGGATGAGAGGGCCTTTAGAAAGCTTTCCCCTTCACTGCTCCACCAACAAGCTTGACATGTGTGGAGAGGGTATTCAGCTGCACTGCTGGGCTGTGCCGGTCTGTTTATACGTGTGTGTGTGTGTGTGTGTGTGTGTGTGTCTTCCTGTTGCTTGGCAAAGCCCAGACCAGTATTCCAGCCTAAACTAATTCTCTCCGACTGTTTTCACCTATCCTTACACAGTACTATATCTAGTATTTTCACATCTGCAGTAATTAGGGTGAATCTGTGTTGCTCTGTGTCAGCATGTTCACTGCACTTCACTTATTTCACAAACATTCTTACCTGCTTGTGCAACCTCAGTAATCAAAATCAAGTCGTGTTGTCAAACATGCTCACATAATCAAGAAACCTAAAGTAAGCTATAAGATATACTGTAACAATGTTGCTGATTCCTTCAGTTTAGATTTCAGTCCTTTAACTTCGATGGGCATCGATAGCCAGTCTCACTCCAGCATATCATTTCTCTTCCTCTTCTTGTCCCAGGCCAAAACAAGACCTGCTGGGTTCAGAGGCAGCATCAGTTAGCCTATTCTCTAACAGTGCAGCTTGTACAGTGTCATTGGTTGTAAATCTTCTGTGTTGTGTCATGTGAAATTTGTCTAGTGGTGTGCTGCCTTCAGCTCTAAACACAGATTGCTGTTGTAGTGGCTCGCCACTACATGCAGAGATTTTTTTTATGTCCCAGTTTCAGCAGATGATCAAAAGACATGACAGACATTGCAGCAGTGGCCAGTATCCAGCGTGGTGCGGTCAGTAGTCATCATTGCATCTCTGCATTTAGTCCATGACACAGAGATATAACAGGATATTTTATGCTTGTTTATGAACTCCAGTACCTGTTCTGAATGAAGCAGGCTGAGCGTCTTCCTCCTTACTTTCTTGGATAGTGTAGCAGACACTTGCCACTAAACTCCATTAGACATCTGGTTTAACGTTCCTCCATTCATCTCTCCTGGATGTTTCCAAGTTCATTGAGGTTTTTTTGGTCACTCCAATTTTCCACTGGCAGCTAGCGAGGCTATCCCAGGGTGGTTCCTCCTGGAGGGCTTTCAGGACTCTGGGGCCAGATACTTTAGGGGTTTATGCTGCTGTTATGGGCGCTTCTTCTCCTCCATAATTCATCAACCGCATGTCTATTCAGACAAATGAGTATTGTTGTTAAAATCTGGAGTTACCTTGTCATAGCTGTATCAGTATATTTCTTTGTGCACTATCAGAACTTGTGAATCTTTGATTTCTGTCCCTTTGAAAGAACAATATTTATTTATTTCTCTTCATCATGCTTTTTAATCATGCATAGGATTTAATCTAAACAATTCTTTCACTTCAAGTGCAATCCTGCATTTAGTTGAAGTGAAAAAGTGATTTTTATTTTTGATGTTTTGCTTGTAAGGATAATCACAGATAATACTGTATGATTTGATTTGGATTAGATGGGCAAAAGGAATGCTCCATACACATGGATGGTTATAATAAGTGAACAACATATTTTAAGTGCTGAAAATCTGATTTTCAATGTCTCCTTTGGTTCACCACAGTCCCAAGACTTGTGTAGTTGGCTTTCATTATGGGCAGGCAGAGTTTTGGCAGTGCCAGACCCACCAGGGGGTGACAACCAGTACAAGACCCATCATCATCATTTTCTCCATGAACAGCACAACTCAGGGGGCCCAGAAATGGACATGCATCTACTGTATGGCTTAGGGAACCACCCTTTTTCTGGAAACGGCTTCTCTTGTTTTGAACATGACAGCAATGCTCTATTTGTGCATCTATGTGCAAATGTGTTTTTAACAGTGTATGTGTGTGGTGGTTCATAGTAGTGTGCATGTGTTTGTTGTTATTATGTTGCAGGTCACTGAGAATTTGAATGCAAGCATATGCATGTGAAAGCACATATGTTACAATTATGCATCTACATTTGTGCATGTGTGTGAGGTGGGGGGCAGTACTCCACCGCATGCTGGTGGGGCACAGCTCTGCTGCTAAACAGAAAAGCAAGTGGTTGTGAGTCAGCCCCCATTGGGCAAAGCTGTGGCCATGACAGCTCTGCAGCACCAGTGCCAAGATAGGAAATTAACAGTGGTTTGGGTGAAAATGTCTCTGAGAGGTCAGGAAATGCCCCTAAGACTAGAATAAGAGGTACAAAACTCCCAGTTAAGAAATAAGAGGGGAAAAGCTGCAAATGACTACATAAGCAGTTTATTTTGAATTGCATAACACTTCTTAAATGCTGAAAAAAGCTGCATAAAGTTAGTACACATAGCTGAAACAAACCATAGAATATTAGTACATGCTCATGGCTATGATCGGCTCCAGCTCGCACTAGCAGTTTTATTTCTATCTGACTGCACTGTCTGCACCCATTGAATAAGGTAAAATAAACAAAGGTTTTATGTACTTGGTCAGGCAGAAACACCATATTGTGTTTTCTTCTCACATGTCTGAGATATTTTTTGTATTTTGTCTACTCAGAAATTCCATTTTATTGTTGTACTTTGCTGCTGCAGATGTAAACATGTCCTCCATTTGCTCATTTTAGGATATTATTTCTGCTTTTGGTGGACTTGACTGTAGGTATGTCAGTAATATCTGACAGTGTATGTATTGAATGTTTACGGTATCTGACAGTTTATTTCTTTATTCAGTGTTTCACGAGATTTAAACAAGCTATGGCTCCAATTTGCACTCAGGTTTTGTAAATTAGTTTGAAACCTATTGATTTGAAAACATGTTGGAAATGTCACATCTGAAATGCTTTAACAGGTTACAGGCAAAATATATCCCAGTACTTTATGATTTAACTGAGAAATATTCACCAGAACTCACCAATATTCATCAAAATTGTTGAGTTATTCTTATTAGATTCTACTAGATTTCACTTGCAAACAACTCAGTCTGAGGAATCTGACCACAGAAGATCTGAGTTATCCTTTGCACTGCACACCCAAGTCCTGTGACCCATGCAGTGAAAGAACATCCAGAACATTTGAATAGTTGTTTAGATCTCAAGTAATGCAGTCAAGTTTGTTGTCAAACTGATCTGACAAGCTTATTAACTGTTTCTCTGAAAGTCTTTAAAAATGATACATCACCACAGAGCTTTTGGTTCTCTGGAGTGCAGAAGTGCATTTTACCAAGAGAGATTCCAATAAACTCAAGTGAGGAGATTACACAACATACATCATCAAAACACTTACAAAACATTCCTCTTCAAATGCTGAAAGGCCCCCTGAAACACTTTGCGGTTAGCCTTGTTTCTGCTGCTCAGCCCCTTCCAGATTACTGCCAGTTGAAGGGAGACCAAGCTGTAAAAGCTCACAGCCTGTTTTCAAGCAGGAGAGGCCTTCTAAGATCCCTTTGTAACCATTAGCAGTGTGCACTCTGAAATATTTAGGAAGAGAAAGGCATGGGCATCGTCATTTCCTTTGTACCTGTCTCTTGTCATCTTAAATCTGTCACTAACATTCCAAAGCACCCTTAATGTAATGTTCTGTGATGAGTGCATGCTAAAAATGGGATTAGTTTTAATGCTTAATGATAAGTTGATCAGCAACAGTTTTGGTAACCATTTAGGTCATGTATCATGGAAAAATGTCAAACATTTGCCAGTTTCAGGTTTGTTAGGGTAAGGGTTAGGAGCTTTTCTCTATGTAAAATTACAGATAAAATAAGCATCATGTTGTAGTTTATTAACTAAATCACTAATCAATTAATTTAAAAATAGGGTGACCTATTATATAACCATTAGTGTTGGCACAAAAGAGTTTCTGCAAGACAAAAGCAAGAACATTTTTAGCTTTTACTAGCATGTGTATTATAGTTGGTGCAGTGAAAACATTTCCTTGTTAATGTTATAGACTTTCTCAAACCCTAAAACTATATCTTATTTTTATCTGGTGTCAGCATATTCGGCATTTTCTCCAGAGGCAAACACCCAAGCAGACAGGGACTTTTCTCAGCTTATAGATAATAATCTGAGGGATCATAAAGTCAAATGAAAGCACACAAATTATAAAAGCTGAATTCACCAGAATTGTACACACAACACACAGAACAGGTAAAATATCCCCTGTTCAGCTTTAGCTGCTGATTTTATGTGCAGTCTTGGTGCCATCTGGCTCTGGCACTCCAGAGTTTCTTCTTTCTCGTCAGTTCACGGTGTGGGTGAGGCAGCGAGACCTGCAGACCCCAGCTGTTTGCAGTTTGGGCAGCAGCACAAGGTGCTCCCATTGAGGAGTTCAGCACTTTGGACAGCACCTAGACCAGCTCTCCCCACAGTGGAATTCCAACATCGCACTCTGTCAGGCCTGGCCCAAGGACTTTACATTTGGAAATATGACCACATTTCTGCCAAGGTGCATGAGGGAAGCTGTTTAGGAGAGAGAGGGAATGTTTGGTAGCTTATCAATATGATGGTGCAGATGTACATTTTCTGTACTGTCTATTAAGATCAGGTTCTCCATGGTGTTAGATGGTGTGACTGAAATATTTGGGTTTAATGTTAACAATACTGAAGTGGAATATTACAAACACATTTGAAAAGGTCTTTATGCTTTGTTCCAGGTGTTTGAGGTCAAAATGTATGCTGAGTTTTTGTATTTACAGTAGCTGTGTGATAACTACCATTGCTTTATCATGACAGATACCTATAATGCAGTACCTCTTCACAGCTTATTGTTTCTGTAAAATGTCTATTTTCCTTCTTTCAGGCAGTCGGGAAGCAGCTTTCACCTATGCCATCACAGCAGCAGGGGTGGCTCACGCTATCACAGCTGCGTGCAGCCAGGGCAACCTGAGCCAGTGCGGCTGTGACCGGGAGAAGCAGGGGTATTACAATCAGGAAGAAGGCTGGAAGTGGGGAGGCTGCTCAGCTGACATCAAATACGGCCTCGAGTTCTCTCGTCGCTTTGTTGATGCTCGTGAGATTAAAAAGACCCCACGTCGTCTGATGAACCTGCATAACAATGAGGCAGGCAGGAAGGTAAAAAGGTTTTTCACTAGTATTTTTTTCCAGGAGTGATGCAGAGAAAGTCAACTCATTTGACTCAAGCAGATAATTTAACCTATTCAGAAATAAATAACTGACTTAAAGGAAAAGCCTGATTACTTGGATTTATTTTTAGAAGTTTTGGGCTTACAGTAATGATAACATTGTAGTCACCAGGTCATTGTGGTGACATGGCTAAACAGAAATCCTTTGGAGCAAGAATCAGAGCTAAATTTGGTTGGAACTCCACACTATCATTTATTAACATCTATCAAAGTTTACAGACCAACTTTCTTATTTAACTTTGACCTATCGTACTTGCTCTAAAGTTTCCTGTGCAGTGAAGGATTTTTAACATTTTTAGTGTGATCAAGTTTGTTTTCATATCCAAATAGACTGATTTACATAATCTAGCTAAAATATTTACTTTCAACTTGGCGGATTGTTTTACCACTCATGTTTCTTGCCTCCACTTTGTTGAAGCAATGTTCCTGTGCTCCCAGATCTCAGCAATCACTTTGATGGGTACAGTGTTATAATAAGTGAGAAAATGATGGCCAGAAACAAGGGGAAACAAATGCAAGCTGTAATGAAGTGGTATTATCCTTTAAGTCAGCTGTAAATAGACAACATGGAATAATCTTGCTCTAATGTGTGTGTGTATGTGTGTGTGGCCTTGTTTATATATATATATACTTGTGGAGAGCGCACTGCTGTCTACCGTCGAATTTTACAGAAATGATGAGGTGTAACATTAGAACAAGTGCCAGCTTTAGTAAAGGTTAGGGTAAGAGTTAAGGTTAGGCAAGTAGAAGTTAGGTGTTAGGAGGGTTAGGGTAAGTCTCCTGGGAATGAATGTAAGTCTATGTATAGAATTTGTAAGTGATGACTGCAAGGATGTGTGTGTGTGTGTGTGTGTGTGTGTGTGTGTGTGTGTGTGTGTCTGTACATGGATGCAAGTGCAGAAGAACAAACAGTTTAAGATAAAGAGCCAAAAGTTATACAGTCATGTGACAGAAGTGTGATTGATCAAGCTGTTTGTCGATTGACTGATCACCCAGTTAGCCTTTCAGGAGCTTGTTTTGCTTCAGCCAATTTTTCTTTCCATTCAGTGAGGGGGTCTTTTGTTTCTGAGAGTGTGTTGGCAAACTTCATTATATTTGTTTGCCGTTAGTCATCCCAGAACAGCCATAGAGGAAAGAAAAAGAGAGACTGTTCGAGAACAGAAGAGATGATGTTATGTTGACAAATGGAACTAATTAATAACTTGGGCTTTATTGTGTCCACTGGGAAAATGGAACTTGGTCAATGATTGCCAGATGAAGAACTGCCATCCCCCCTTTCTAGTTCCTTTCATAGAATTATGAAGTGTGAAGTCAGGAACAAGATATTATTGCACTTCTCTGCACAATACCAAAACATGCCACTGCTGTTTGACTGCATCTATTCAGAGGGTGAAAACAGGCCAACAATGCAGGTGTTAACACAGCAGACTGCAGGCAACTGCACCAGCATGTTGGACTGCCAGGCTTGGAGTTGGCACTATTGCAGTTCTCACTCTGGGGCTTGGAAACTCAGATGCTAGGATGTATGAAAATCATAGTTCATCTTTATTGAAACAGAAGAAAACAGCTTTTAGACCTTAAGAGATTTAGAAGGACACAGAGGACTGAACCTTCTCTGGGTACAGCTTGTTTGACTCCATTATCACTTGGGCAGATTGGAGAGCTATCAAAAAAAGCTAAGGGTTATTGCATCTAAGAAGCATTTGATATAGACTGAAATTATGCTGTTCAAACCAATCTTGGGGAATAAAACTGTAGTCTCACTCATGTGTATAAATCTAGTTCATGTTTGCATTACTTTATGCATAGCTGTTAGCTAGCTCGCTATTATTCCTGATTGTTAACTGTTATAACCAGACTGCCACAGTGCTCAAGTTATTCTTCTGGCATTCTTGGCTGTTACTGAACAGTTTCAGGTGAATTACCACCACCCTCTGGAGTGCAGTGCAGACCCTGATTTGCATGTAGCATGGGAAAACCAAGGTGGATTGCCATCAGATATGCGATCTGGCCAGTGGAGATGCATACACTGTATGGGGCTAGCTCAAAATAAGTGTAACACTATTCTTTTTATGCAGAACAGAGAATATCCTCCTGTTTCTGGAGGCTTTCTTTACACTTTACCTGAAAGTTTTATAGCTCTTATTTGCTTTCCCTGTTTACTGCAGATGACATCCTTTCTTTTATGTGGCAGGACATGCCAAAAAGTTTTGTACAAAAAGATTTTTGCACAGATATATTCAAGACAAATGAGCTGATAAAAAATGACCCTCATTTGAATGTGGAAGGATATTTTCCTGCTAAAATTTTTTTTCTAATCACTGCCTCTTTAAAATAGAAAACTATTATTACAGTCGATTCCGTGATAAAACTGAAAGCAGAAGAACCCCCAGTGAATCAGTCTGAGATGCCTTTCATCTGGCATCGGGTGCATGTGCTTGACAAGTGATCTTTGGATAGGAATCTGGTCATACTGGACTAATTAGAAACAGATCATTGGCTTTGATGGACACAGTTTAAGTAAATGTTTCCATGCATCTGTCAGACTCCTTATGCCAGGCATTCCTTGTGGTTTTTTGCACTATGCATTTTTGGAAATCCTCATTCTGAATCAACATCCAAGGCAAAGTTGACTGTTCACCCCAGCTTTTATGAAGATGAGGAAGTTCATGTTTTTTCAATCAAATGTCTTTAAATCAGGAAACTGTGACCACATGATTCCATGGACAAGACAGACAGATACTGAACAACTCTTGTGTACATTTTATATGTCTGATGATTTGTACTGCTGGCAAGGCAGGATGCCAGGAAAAAGCTGCATCACAAAAATGCCCTGCTGGCCAAACTTACATCTTGTACAGTGCAACAAAGAAACATGGTTTGTTTAAACATTAAGGGTTCCTAATTGGGTTAAAGGGTTAGGGTTATCTGTAATAGTTGTGTTAGGACTATTACAGACTTATTAATATAACCCATTTCAATTCTAAAGGACTGACACTTAAATACTGACAACATCACGCAATATTTCCAAAATGCCTCAGAATTAGGCAGTAAAGAGAAAATGTTCTGCCCTGTGTACTACTGTATATGTTGGAGAGAAATGAAGTCTGAGTAAGGGGAGAACCTAAGAAAATCTAGATTATTGTGTTTAAAGTGACTCTGACTAAAAGTATTTGAATTTATGACTGCAATAATTATATTAAATGCACTTTCATACATGTGGATGCATGTATTGCTTTCTGTTTGTCAATATGACTACTCAAATATTGTAAGCATCAAATGCCTTGTTCAGCTGTAAAGAATTAATTGGCCTTTTTTTATAGTGTAGGTGCAATACATCTAATGACACAATAATTTAGCTTCAAAATGTACAAATGATTGATAATTGTATGAGGCCCATGTTTATTTTTCTCCTTCACTGATGTGGAATAGGGAAGACAGTCAAAACTACATGATGGGATATTACCAGTAAGTGCAATTTTCCCCCCTTCATGACATGCAGCAGCTTGCCAACCATAAATGAGCTCCATAATGGTCTGTTACTGTCAAATTTAAGTGTCTGTGTCAAGAATGCACAAGCTCTATCGCCTATCAGCACAATCACTGCTTACTAGAAATGAGTGCAGATAAGAAAGGCCCTGTTTCCATCACAGCATTTACAATTCAAATAAATGGCTTGACATCTAGTTGATCTGACAAATGTCACATTTGTTTCCACTAGCTAGCATTCATTCAGCATTATGGTAAATGTGAGTTATTCATGTATAAAACTCAGTGGTGGAAAAAGTACTCGCATCCCTTACTGAAATAAAAGTAGTAATACCGTGTTGAAGTACTGTACTTTACATACTGCTGGGTAACTTGTGAATTTTCAACCAGAGATCAATAACATCTTGTGCAATTTTTCATCTCTCTTTCTCTTTCTCTCGCTCTCTCTCTATATATATTACATTTAGTGTGCTGTGATTTTAGTTATTATTGCTGTTGCTACTGGATACCTGAATTTCCCTTGGGTTCAGTAAAGTATCTGTCTAATCTGTATTTTCTGTATCAATCTGGTTCTGAAAAGTAACTAAAGTTATAAAATAAATAAAAGGGGCAGTAACTGGCTCTAAAATGTATGTATTGTGATTTAGGTGAATGACCCTTTAAGTGAGACAGTCATCATTTCCCAAGGATGATTGTTGTTAATTTGAGGTTGGAATTTCAACATCATGTCTCTATTTCTTGCAGTTCTACAGCTGTTTTGTGTTTTCACTCCTCAGGTTCTAGAAGAAAGGATGAAGCTAGAATGCAAGTGTCATGGTGTCTCAGGCTCCTGCACCACCAAGACCTGTTGGACTACACTTCCCAAGTTCCGTGAGATTGGCTACGTACTCAAGGAGAAGTACAACGAAGCCGTGCACGTGGAAGTAGTTCGGGCTAGCCGACTACGCCAGCCTACTCACCTCAAGGTGAAGCAGACTCAGGGCTACCGTAAGCCCATGGAGACAGACCTTGTCTATATCGAGAGGTCTCCCAACTACTGCGAAGAGGATGCAGCCACAGGGAGTGTGGGCACCCAGGGACGCCTGTGCAACCGCACATCATCACATACAGACGGTTGTGACCTTATGTGCTGTGGCCGGGGCTACAATACACACCAGTACACCAAAGTGTGGCAGTGTAACTGTAAGTTCCAATGGTGCTGCTTCGTCAAGTGCAACACATGCAGTGAGAGGACGGAGGTGTTTACCTGCAAATAAGATTGCAAGGAACTCAGGCACTAAGGACTAGCTGAATGAGGAAGACCCGACCTAGCAAGATAAAAGGGTGACTTGGACCAGTAAGAGACTTTGAAATAAAGTAATGGAATTTACACTACCAGCTCTTCATGGCATCATTTTGCACAGCAGAACCTAATGTCTTTTCAGAAAGTGAATGCTAAATATCAGTAGGTAATACCCCAGAACTTTACTGTTGCACAGAGATAGTGCTCATGTACTGTACTGATATATCCACAGTGAAGTTGGGACTATATGAAATTAATGAGGCCCTTAGCAGGAACTGTGCTTTGCACTCTGGGCTTTGTTAAATTCACAAGAGACTTGTGCATGGAGAAGAAACAGAGAAACCTGGGAGTTGGTCAAAATGACAGCAGCTGATGAGGGATGACTTTAAAAGGTTTTGCTATATTTTTACTACAGGGGAACAAAAGTGAACCTAGATATGGAGGCGCCCCAAATTGGCTGAGGCTAATGTTAGAGGATTGCAGAAATGAAGAACATTTTGTGAGCACGGTGCTTCAGGCTGTGCCAAAATCTAAGTGGAGAACTTTATTAAACCCTCTGCTACCAACTGGAATAAGGTGGAGTATGCTAGTTTTCCAGTCACACTGGAACTGTCTGTTCTGAACACTGAAAATAAATTGTTTATTTATGTTATAGTATCTTAAAACGAAGCACTAACGGGTAGAGATGTCCTTTTTGTACTAAGTGTAAAGAAAAATTACTTTTTAGAAACTCTGACTGAAGATATGTGTCTGCTAGAAAATGACCGCCCCGATCCCTGAAACACCTCATCTTTTCATAACAAGAAAGAAACCTACACAAAAAAACTTCATTGCTACTGGTGTGTTGACAACAAATAATATATTTCATTGTATTTCACATTCAGACACATTGGTTCTATTTTTTATTGTAGCATAGGTTGTTTGCAGGCCCTCCCCCCCAGTAGCAATAAGAATTGTTTAACTGCAGAGATCCTTCCTCAGTTCATTAACCATGAAAGTGATATGTTGCTGGATGTGTTAAGTGCTGCACTGATATGTTCTATTCAGATACGACTCATGAGAACTAAATAAACTCCAATTTGACTCATTTTGGCAGTTCATTGCTAAAATATCAACTTAAGTTGAACCTACAGTTTTTAGAATAATATTGGTTATTTCATTTGAAAATAACTGTAACGGTGTGACCAGTGGTGTGATGGTTATTTACTATACACCCATGCATATACAGTAATGGCAGAGGTAACCAAGCCTACAGATGAAATAATTATTATCATTTTGCTTGATGTGCTGCCAGACAAAATGTTATAGTCCCAAAAATGTTTTCACTGAACACAAGGCTCACTTGGGGCTGATTCACACTCACTTGTGCTCATTAAGGCTATACACTAGGGAATTTTGTTCCTGGCTAGATTAGCTCTGTTTTGCCACAAAAATAAAGAATAATTGCAGTATATTACAAATTGGATTTAGGTATTTTGGAAAACACTTCTATCACTTAAACTAACATTGTACTACCCAAATCACAGTAATTACTAAGTATGGGAACACGGTGATACCGCTAAATTGTACAGGACAAAAACACAAGAGGTCAGATAAAAAGAAAACTGAGAAAGGTTGTAAAACAAACCAATGGTTTAGACAGATTTTCTAAACTACATTCTTAAAATGCTGCAGTATCAACTGCGCATAAACCCAAAAGTTGTTTTTACATGTATTGTAAACAGATTTCTCGAAAGTGATACATTGTGTTCATTAGTAACATTTAGCAGTATTGGTAGGTATATTTTTGAACTTTGGAGACACTTAAGCTACTGTAGCTGTCTCACCCTGCTTCCGGTCTTTATGCCTAACTAAGCTTCCTGGTTATAGCTCCAAATTCAATGCAGGTATGAGAGTGGGATTGATCGTCTCGTTTAACTGTCTATGTAGAAGTAAATATAAGTGCATTTCACAAAGGTAACTTTGATTATTGAAGTGTGAAAGAGGCAAAAGATACCAGGCTAACACTTCACTGTGGGCTGAGAATGTGCAGTGCTTTGTGGCACTTTAAGTTATAACCACTTTTTGTTTATCTGGAATATTTATGTTATTGTCTATTCAGCTTTAATCTATAATATATATTTCAAAGTCATATGAGGTTTACAGACTCTAGGTCAGTTTATCATTTGGTTGACAGTTAATTGGTTTAGAATGTATTGTAAATTTTGCACATAATCACATTTTTTTTTTTTTTACAGATTTAGAGACTGCTAGAACTTAGTCTTGCACTTTGCATGATTAGCGCCGTTTAGCATGTAGTAAATATATCAGTCTAACTTATTTTAGAGGTGCTACTCAGATGGATCAACCCCAGTCATCATGTAAATATTTTTTTCATATTTACTCAGTTATAATAATTTACCGATATAACCTATCTAACATATAGCCCCATTCTGGCATTCATATTTTCTTCAACTGGAGGCAGTTCAAAACTAGACAGCAATCAGAGAGTGCAAACCTCCACCAAGGCAGAACACTTTCCCCATAAATCCATGACACCTAAAGGCAGTATTCTCATGATAGTTTGACCCTCATAATATGATTCCTTAAGCATGAAAAACTTCGCCTAGCATTTGGAATTACATTGATATCATTATTAATTTGAAAATTATTCAAGAAAGCAATACTTCAGTAATGGCGATTTTCTTCAGGATGTAGGTCAGTAATTTCTGAAGATTTTGCAAGATGATCAAATCTGTTGACACCCTGCTGAATCAGTAGTTCCAGCTAGAATTTGGTCTTAGTTGCAAGTTTGTAGAATTATTTGTCTCACAGTAGCCCGTTTTCCATGAGTCCTATAAATGTGAACATTCTAGATCAGCAGGTATGGAGTTTTTCTTGGATCCAGATCAGACTTTGGTGTGTAGTAAAATTTATGTGGATGTTACTGTGCAATTTTTGTCCAAATATGGTAGCAAAAATATTGCGATTTGAACTATTTCACAATGAAGAATCCATTTAAAAATTGTCTGGATGCAGAAGATGATTTGGATCAAATTCTAATGGATTGTTTCTTGGGCCATACCCTCCCTCTCCAAAATGAAAACCACCATCAAAATTGATTCATTACTTTTTGAGTTTTGCTGTGAACATACCAACAAACAAATGCTGGTAAAAACTGATTTTGATGACATTTTTTTGAAGAGGTAGAGTATGGGTCCTTCTTTTATTATCATGTTTTATTATTGTGCATCTGCATTTACGTACGTATCATGTTGTTTTTTGACTGGACCTTGAGGCTGTAATAAAGTTTGAACTGAACTGAACTGAATTGAATATGGCCCACAGAACAGTCCAACAGATTTAGGTGCTGATCTGGATCATCATCCAGATTGAGGAACGTTTTAAAGGACTCTTCACCACCATGAGTGGTGGAAAGGCCCCTGACTGTATGTGAGCCTCCTTGTGGCTAAAGTGCACGGGAGGCACATTGTAAAACTAACTCTAAAATGGACTTGCATGCAGCCAAATGGTTGAGTTGTTTGTGTCTGTGAAGGACTGTAAGTAGATATAGTTATTTCAGTCTGCATGGGACATTTATTTAGTGATCGTTCATGTCTACTGTTTATCTTGAATAACTTTCAAAGTAATGATATCCACATCATTCACTATGTTTTCATGCTCAAGGAATTATATGATGAGGGCTAAACTACTATATCATGGGAATATTGGTTTTAGGTGCAATTTTGGGGAGGCTATACCACCTTGGTGGTGGTTTGCACTCTCTGAGTGTTGTCTAGTAATGAATTATTTTGTGAAACATACAAAAAAGCTTGTCTTTGAACTCTGTGGATTCCTTACTGGTTCTTTTTTTTATTGCTCAATGCCTGTTGATACTGTTCCCCCTCAGTGTTCAGTTGACTATATTGACTGTTCAAGTAAATTTCCAAAGCTATTATTTTCATAAATTGTTTCCCTGTGAAGAAAAACACACATTAAATCCGGTCATTGTGTGTGTCCAGATTTGAAGCCAAACTTTGTGTAGAAGTCTGTTATTCAAACATTCCAACCACACTTAATATAGTAACTGGCAAATGCACTAGGAAGCATAAATCTTTAAAAATCTAAAATATATAAATTAGCAACATGCTGACTGACATTTTGTACACAGCACGTGTTCATAATATGCTGTGGTCGCCTGTCTTGATTGTGGCACGCATGGAACTGAAGTCAATTATCTCTCCCACCATGAAAAGGAGCTTCTTCTCATTGCCTGTGTCAAGCCGAGATGTGATCAGAAACACAGAAAGAGAAGGAAAATAAACAAGATTTAACAAGGATTATGGAAGACAGATATTTTCCATTAAAAATAAATAGCAGTGCCCCTCAACAAAATAAATACCTATTAACCCTGCAAAGTGTGATTATTCATCCAGTTCAAAAAGGCTTTTGTTCAACAATAAAAAGCTTGTTTTTTGCCAATCAACTGGCACTGTCTACCTTGGGTGGTCACAGCCACCTGTCACAACCACAATAAGTCCTTACCTGATTACTTTGCATGTTTATTTTCTGTTGTTGGAACAGCAGATGATATGAGCCTTGTGTTCACAAAGCCTGATGTGGTACAATTCATGACACTGAGGTTAAACTAAATGAGGATACAGGATGACTGAATAACTGGCTCAACAATTGTGCTTCTTATGCTTTCTGTGTTGGCAGGGCTGTTGGGAGTCACTAAATGGGAAGAGGACTTCATGCAAATGACCTAATGTGAAAAGGAAGTGGCTCAGTGTGCCTCTTGTTTTTAGATGCACAAACAAAAGTATAGCTCTTTTGTGAGGGTGTTGTTGAGATGGATGGGATGGCTTAATGAAAAAAAGGAGGTGCATGTGTAGCCGGAAACTGCAAGTGAAAAGAGTGGTTATTTAGAAGAGGAGCTAATTGATAGCGGTTTGGAGAAAGAGAGGGTGCACTATAAAAATGGGACCAGCTGTCGAACCAAGTTGGGGACTGTGTGCAATGCATGATAAAAGATATGGTAAAACAGTCTTCAGCTTATACACACCCTCCATTTTGTAAGGATTTGTATTGTTAATTATGCTGATCCCAGAGCATAAAGAGCATAGAGGTTGATAAGATGATTATTTTAGGCAGTGATGGATTTTGAAACCTGATAGTCCTGAAAATTTAAATAATTGACAAATTACCATTGCAGACATGATCAATGTCAGTGGCTTCATTCAATGCTTTCTGTGAGATGGCTCTGTGAAAGAGAGTCATGCTACTTCATTCATTTGCTGGACACTCCACTCGTTGTCCTGTATGTGAAAAGCATTGTAAGTGTGCAGCAGAGTGGAAGTAAGATTGTTTTGTTAGTTGTCTGAAACCCTGGAGACCGGAACTGCATAAGCTCTCCACACTATGCCCTGGATTGAGAAAAATAAATCAGTTTGTTTCTGACAAACATTTTGTCATTAAAAATATGAGATAGAAAAACAGTCTGCTGTGTGTGACTTTTTCTAAAGCAGCTATTGTTTAGGTGGCAGGATCATTAGTTCATTGGGATATATTTTGCAAACCAATGCTTCTGGTTTAATTCACACTCTCATTTAACTAATTCAGGGCCCAGTTAGGAGGAAAGACAGTTGTAAGGTAACAGAACCACTGCAAATCACTGGGAAGGACATAACATTTGTCTGCCAACGTTATGCATCAACGTCATGTAAAGTTATCACTTGATCTTGCAATTCAGAGTTCACTGGTAAACATATGTGGGGTTCCAGTGCTTTGTGAAACCATGTAACATCAGTTGAGAGGATTTAAAGGAGTCACAGGACTGCCAGTTTTCATTTACACAGACTGAAGAGGACAGGTGAGATAGAAAACTGAGAAGTTAAGACACTGATGGAAAACAACATCCAGTCTAAACAGTAAACAATATAATCTTCATATATTTTCTCCTGAAATGAGAAAGCCCTCCCAAATTTCTTTGAATTTCTTCCAACCATCTGCCTCCTCCTGTAATTTGTAACTGAATGCTCAGAGACAATAAACTGCCTAAATCAAAAAATGAAACTAAAAATCAAAGAGTCAGAGGTTTTCAGAGCTGATGCTTGAGATGAGCCAGATGCCAAGTGAGAAGAAGAGGACTGCTGTCTTCTAGACACTGCACTTTTAAGAGTTAACAGTACCATCATCTACATGCATATATATATATATATATATACTGTATATACATGTATTTAAAACATTACAGTTTTCAATAAAGCATTATAGCACACAATACAGTTTAATGCTACCCACAACACAGCCTGCACCAATTATAAATGTATAGTCGTTTTTTCATATGATCTCTTGGAGTGGTGTTTTTCTGTGTTCCTTTAACTTTGTTTTGACTGCTTGTCTTAGTGAAAGACCATCATTTGGAGGTTTCTCATCATCTGTTTGATATTAGTGGTGAGGAACACATGGCCATTCAAAGGCGAAGCCCTGTGTGACATCATAGACCACAAGGCAAAGTGGGGATCGTCAAGACCCCAGACTGAGTACTCTGAATACTACCTGAGTACCTCCATCCATCTGCAGCTGTATTATCTAAATAATGTGCCAGTATGGGTCTCTGTTTCTGGTACGTGGTTGGTGCTTTTGCAGAACTTCTACTGTACATAGACAGCAACAGTATGAGAGGCCTTTTCCAGAATAGCTTTAGTGTCGTATCAAAACAATACACAGAGCACAATAAACTGAGCTTAGATCAAATACTGTGCACAATTATTAATGAAAAGAAAAGGAGCAAGCTGCAACATAGTTTTAATTTAATCGTTTTGATGTGGATCACCCAACCTAACACCTAGACAAAAACAACCGCTGTGCTATGGTTCTGACTGAAAAGGTTCAAAAATGTCTGTTAAAGAAACAAAATAACTGTAGATAACAGATTCACAGATAGCAAAGTGAAAGTTCTTACTATATATAAACACACAAGACATTAGCCTGAGGCGTAATGATGCCCAATTTGGCGTGCACACCTGTTTATGTTGGACTCGGGCAGTAAGTGGTGCTTGTAAAATATGAGTGAGGTTAATACTTATGGTGTGACGCCCTCAGCCCTCACATCTACACTAAAGACAGCATCGGCAGTCTCAGATGATGGGATGGATCTAACCTCTGGTACTGCTGTACTTGTGCCAGTGTTTATGTGTGTGCATAGATTACTATAGAGCTAAAGGACACTAAACATTTACAGTATTGGCCTGCTGATGTTTGTCTGCATGCCACTTTTCTATGTAAAGTACAAGTGTGTGTGGCTGTGTTTGCTTGTGTGTGTGTGAAACAGACATCCCTTTGGGAAGTGGGTTTCTACATGGAGACATTTGGTGGATGGAGTTCGAGGACAGCCCACACACACTTTTGTGCTGCTTAGTGTCAGTGGTCGGCTAGGCCACGGCTTCTCCTTGAGGTTATTTTTCTCCTCACGTTTTGTTTTTATGAAGTGAGGTAGGAGTTTTAAAAGCAGACTCCACCTAGGGAAAATCTACATGACCCTTAAGGGCCCTTAGCACTTCAACCCCTCACTTTCTGTTAGATGAAGCAGAAGACAATCATTGTAGGAGACATAAATTGCATTTTAGAGATAAATTTTCCATGGCCTGTTCTTTTTAACATATACGGAGGTACAGAATTTCCAAGAACACATCAAGAATTTAACAGCTAATTGCACAGCAATTCATTTTTCTTAACCATGATTCATCATTTTACCATTTGGCATTTAATTGTAATGCTGCAAATAATAAACTGAACTTACTAAAATTGCAAAGACTTTTATTCAGTCCAAACCAAAGAAACTCAGAAAGGCTCCAAGTGCTCTACTCTAAATAATCTGTTCTGATAAAACAACATCAATATGCTACACAGCTGAGACCACAGAACTTGACACTGCACAGCTGCCATTTGGAAAATCTTGGCAACATAAATGCCGTTGTTAACTTACACAGCACACAAATCTTGTCAACAACTTCTATAGTAAATATCATTCTTTAAATAGTTTGCTCACCTTAAGCACCTTCACTTCCCCTTTAAGTTCAGTGATAAGTCTTATGATTGTGCAGTTTTACCTAATTTGCTGCTGTAAATCTACCAGGTCAGTTGCACCTTTGCTCCACTCAGTAGTGACACTTTACAGTCATTTTCAGAGGATAGTCCAGGAATAGCCAGCACACAGTGCCAATGAGATTCAGTTCCAGTGTATCACCCTTCTCTGTCTAGTCTGTGGAAAGAGCACTGGTTGAGATGAAAAGGTTCCATGATGTGGGACATACACATGGAAAGTTCTCGTGAATCCTTTGCTTTTCCGTGGGGATGGGAAGTCACCGGAACAGCACACAAACAACTTAACATGTAGCTAACAAATCATCTTACTACATGTAAAAGCTCCTGATTTCAAGTACTCCAGATTTTAGTGTTTCTGACAGGTAACGATGAGCAGCATGGTGATAAAGTTTACTTAACACAAGTGAACTTGTCAGTCTCCTGTTCAGAAAGGTCATGGCTAACAAAATCTGTCAGCATAGCACACCACATGAAAAGCAAGATCAGAGAAACTGGTTTCCCAGTACTTGTATATTTCTGTCTCCATCTGTGTCACTGGCTGGAAGTGGGCTAGTGTACAGTACACGCTTTTGAATATGTAGGGCACTGGACACCAGCACCATGTGGTTTGGGAGAAGCTGAGCTGGGGCTTTAATCTGCCAACCCGCCTCCCAGTTTTCCCCATTTTTCCTTGGATCTCATTTACCCCTCCAGCTCCCCATCTACAGTACCAAACAGGCTCAGCACTACCCCAGCTCCACAAGACCCTGAGCTCCATGCCACTCCCCACCTCTACTGCATCCACACCAGCTGGGCCATGCCTTGTCACAGTCCTGATGTCCAAATGGCTGATGGATGCACCAAGGTCAAAATGACGATCTAGAGAAGTCTTTGGTCCATCGCTGAGCCTTTGATCAGCATACTTAACCCTTTCTTCCAAGAATCTTCCCCCCACAAACCCAAACCCACCATCCCCTTTAGCAGATGAGAATGTGGGGAGATTGAGTTACACAGTGCTGGGTAGAGGGCAGGCTGATATCCCTTTGGTAACACATGTCTTTGTTTAAAGCAAAGCTCAGGCACTGACAGTCCTCTTCCAAGCTCCCCTGCTTTATTAATACCTCAACAGAATTAGCTAGGAGAAGATGGAGGGAAGATCTAGGTCTTGGTTTATGAGAAAACCTGCAGTTTTTACCAATGATCTCACTAGTTACTCACTCAATCATACTGCTAAACAAACAAAAATGAACATTTTGGAAAAGATGCTTGAAAGAGAAGATTGAACCCACTGTAATAACTATCCATTAAATACACAGTTAAAACCAGCAGCCAGTTAGCTTAGCATAAAGGCTAACAGACAGCCTTACCCCTGTCTAGAGGAAACAAAATCCATCAACCAGCATACAGAGCTGCTTTTGGAACTAACTTTTACATTTGTGTCCACAAGCTTTTACAGCCTTATGCATACAGTAGCTATTGTCCCAGTAATGCTTGAATTATGAAAGTGTGTTCACTAGCAGGGACCTGCCCTCACTAAGTATAAATTAAACTATAAGGATATTAAATACTTGTGTATGCTTGTTGCTTGTGCACTTGACAGTTTTGGGGAAGTTTAAGCAGGTTCACGCTGCTCTCAGACACTGGCAGACCCTAAAAACCTTCTAACAAATAAGTGCAGCCTGAAAGGTTTCACTGCCTTCAGCTTTAAATCTTATATATAGAATTTACAATAACAAATCATTTCCAGAGGCTACAAGCCAGCAGAAAGCAGATTGTAGCTTGGTGCCAGTATAGGATGAGAAAGCCGCAGACAGCCCAGTGCCTGCCGAGGAAAGGACAGACCTCCTTTTCATCTCAGACCCTGGACAAGTTGCCACTAGGTTCTAGTTCCTTCACTGCATCAAGACCATCTCTCTCTCTCTGGCATCTCACTCTGACCTCTACTCCAAACATTCAGTCAGAATCGGAGCAGCTTCAATCACCCACAGAAATGGCATCCCTGATCATCACATTAAGGCCATAGCCTGTCTGACTCCCCAGGTCTTTCTACTCTACATCAGATGCAACCCAAAGGACATCAAATGCATTTGTTTGGCTCTTATTTCCTGGAAGGTTTTTGGGGGTCAGCCAGTGCCCGAGAGCAATGCGGATCGCCAAAGCCTCCCCAAAACTGCAGTTCATAACTAAGGCTACACTAAGCACTATTCTTCTTTCATACACTGAGGGCAGGCCCTAGCTAGTGAAGTAGTTCGTTTTATTTTGTTAATCAGATCTTTAGTTCTGAGTTCTGTGAACACTACAAATCTCAAAATAGCAAAACACAATTTCTGTTTAA